CGAGTGTCCTGAGGTTGGAAATCCGCGCATGCCCTCCAAACTCGTGCAGAGCCACGGCGCACGGTGGGGGGGAGATGGTCCCTCCTGCTGTGGTTCAATGGACTCTGGGGGTGACGGGGCATCCACGTGGGCCTAGTGGGGAACAAGGTGGGGAAGAGACGGACAGATGTGGGTGCTCTGCCCACCACGCAGGAGAGAGACGGACAGACATGGGAATGCTCTGCCCCACCACGCCCCTGCCCATGCCGCACCACGACACGCCATATTCTGGAGGTTCCAGCCTCCCAAAACCAGGAGCAGGAACACTCTGCTCTCTAGTCGCCTACACTTGAGTGCTGCGGGGCCAGTTCCAGTGGACAGCTGGTAGCCAGACAGACAGCGACGCGGACTTTGCTCTGGTTCCAGAGATGTCCATGCTGGGCCTTTGGACGGTCCAGAGAGCAGCCATCCCTGCCCTGAGAGCAGCCACAGGAATGGAGGGCCCGGCACGGGGCGGCAGCCCACAGCCCCACATCCCCCACGTGCGAGTTGCATGCTGCCAGAGCAGGAGCGTGACCTCAGGAAGTGTCGGACAGGGATGGCGGGGACAGGAGGCTGAGGCCGAGGGAGGTGCTGGTGGATGGTGGAGAGGCTGAGACGCAGGAGACAGCAGAGGCCGACCCGGTGGGCCCCGTTCTGGGTGCTGTGGACCAGCCTCCCCCTGCCAAAACACCACATGGAACATCTCGGGGCATAAAACCAAAGCATCTCGTGAGCCAGGAGCGGAACCCCGGGCGTCAGACCAGCTGGGCTCTCACCTGTCATCTGAAATCCTCATGGGGATTTTCTAAGCGACAGATTGTCGAAGGGGAGTGAACAGTGACACGTGCCCTGGGCGACCTACACACGGAGCTGCCCAAAGAGCTTTGGAGGAGTCAGGATCCAGAGAGCCCTGTCCCGTGGCCAGAAGGCAGGTGGGGACTGTCTGAAACCTGAGACAAGGCCCGTCTGCCCGGGAGCCTGCGGTGGAGACGCTGTCCCAGTGCCACGTGCACCAGCCACTTCCTCCCGTGGATCAAGAGACACACACGACTTCCTCTTCAGGGCCACAAGCCCGTCAGGGAGCCTGGGCTCTGGTGGGTGTGCCCCGCACCTCGCCAACTTTGAGACGTGCACCTCCTGTTCCTGGTTCAGGCCCGGACGTCTGGTCCCCCCGGCCAATTCTCCCACAACTTCCGCGGCAAGTCCACGCCTCCTTCGAAGATGGCACAAGTGAAGTCCTGGTGCTTCTCGGGCCTTCTCTGACTCCCAGGAGGGCCTGGCAGGGAGTCGAGGCGAGCTGACACTGACAGCATCAGCCAAGCCAGGCACAGTCCGGGCCTGAACTTCCCTGGACTCCCGGCCAGCATCCCCTGATAACCCGGCTGGCCACTAGGGCTTGTGGCCACTCTGAACTGTGAGTGTTCGAGCGTCACTTCCTTCCGACCCCCATCTTCCACCACACTCCAGAAACCTTCCTCGCTGTGCACCTGGGGTGTGGCCGACTGGCCTGTCCTCAGGGCCAGAGGGAACGCGTCCCCGTAGCACTTCTCTGGGGTAAGAGAACACAGCGGGTTGGCTGAGGTGACCCCAGGTGTGTGTGACGAATGTCCCCACCCTGACAATGCAGGTTCCAGGCTGGCAATGTCGCGATGTCACTTCGGTCATCCCCCGGGACACTGTAGCCTCCGCTGCAGCAAAAGCAGTATTTGGTTATCTCAAGCAGGACCTTTGCAGGAGGGCTGCCACCTGACGCGTGAGAGACCAAGACTCGGGAGAAAATTCCACTGTGGAATAAACCCTGGGCCGTGGAGGGGCTTCTCCTCCCAGCCTGGGCACAGGTCCCAAATCATCCCTGCACTCCCAGCCCAACCTGTCTGCCCTTGTCTCCTTTTAACTAACTTTACTGAGGAGCTCCCAGGGGCTGTGACATCTCTCCTGCCTCAAGGTCAGCACGCCGGCTCCTCAAGGCCAGATCACCACTTTGCCCTGCGTGCCTCCCCTGATGGCCTCTCTGCCCTCCAGGCCTCCCCTGACGGCCTCTCTGCCCTCCCTGCCTCCCCTGATGGCCTCTCTGCCCTCCGTGCATCTCCCCTGACGGCCTCTCTGCCCTCCGTGCATCTCCCCTGACGGCCTCTCTGCCCTCTGTGCATCTCCCCTCCTGCACCTCTCCTTGAACTCTGTGCTGGAGCAGATGCTGCCCGGGCCTGCCTCACTACAAGGCCTCTTATCTCCTTCCTGAGAACAGTAGCAACTTGGCCTGAACGTCTGTGCCCTGAATGCTAGGGGGTTAAATCCTGACCCCAAGGTGACGGTATTAGGAGGTCGGACCTCTAGGAGGCCTGGCTGGCAGAGACGCTGTCCCAGGCGGGGGCTGCAGGGAGAATACCATCCACGTGTGTAGTAGCGTGTCTCCAACACCCCAGTCACTCCGGAGGCAGAGGCCACAATGGCCAGTAAAACCCTCTTCAAAGTAAGAGGCCCCAGAGACCTGTGGCCCTTCGACCGCTGTAGACACGGTGAGGACTCAGACCCGTCTGAGAACCTGGAAGCCTCCCCACCACACACAGAATCTGCTGGTGTCAGACACGGACCTGCAGCCTCCAGAGCCCGAGTGGTGTGGCCACTGAGTCTAGCCACTGGGCCCTGGGCTTGGTTCCAGCAGCCCCGGAAAACTAAGCAGTGCAGAGTGCACATGCTCCGGCCCAGACGGCCCCTCCAGCCGGCCCTGGACCTGTCCGGGAGGCTGCCGAGTCCTGGGCCCTGTGCTCTCGTGCAGGCCAAGCGAGCTCGCCACGAAGCAGCCGGGTACCGGCCGGGCACCAGGCGGACCTGTCTGGCTCATGCAGACCCCACGCAGTGTCTGCTATTTTAGATCTTTCTTGCCAACGTGGCCAGGACAGCAATTCCATTGTTGGCCAATCCTGGGCCATGTTCTCAGGCCCAGTTCTGCAGGGCAGGGCAGAGGCTGGGGCTGTGGGACAGGGCCCGGGGGGCGCCTGTGGGTCCCTCAGGAGCAGACACACAGATGGCACACGCAGGCGGCACACGCAGACAGTACACGCAGGTGGCACACGCAACTGGCACACGCAGGCAGCACACACAGGCGGCACAGGCAGATGGCACATGCAGATGGCATACACAGGTGGCACACGCAGATGGCACACGCAGGTGGCACACGCAGATGGCACACGCAGGAGGCACATACCGGCGGCACACGCAGACGGCACACGCAGCGCAGGTGAGCTGAGCCTCCTTTTTCACTCATGCCTTCCTGGGGCTAAGGAAGCTCCTGGTCGGGGCCAGGGCACCCCCATCCCTGTGGGCTGAAAGCAGTTCTGCCTTGTTAGCTGTGTGGCCACAGGAAAGGGTCCTGGGCTGGCCTCATACAGGGCCCCCACATGCCCTCTGTCCCCGCCCACGGCACCACGCAGTCCTGGGCTGGCCTCACAGGGCCCCCGCATGCCCTCTGTCACCGCCCACAGCATCACGCAGAAGAAGAAACCCACGGCCGAGAAGCGCAGTGACTCGCAGAAAGCAGGGGTCTGGCTTTGAGGTCTACACGTGAGCTGAACAGGCCCGCCCCTGTGTTAAGCTAACAGTCACGTAGAGACGGCAGACGGTGTGGACCCCATTATGGCGAGGTGTGGAACAGACACAGCATGCCAAGGAGGGCCTCTGGAACCCGGCAGGGCCTGGCGGGGCATGGTGCCTGGGCCGCTAGCATGTCGGCTTCTCCCCCGCCCCGACTGCCCAGGCAACACAGCCTCTAAACTGCAGACGTGGGAGGAAACGAGGGGCCGTAGAGGTCACGGCAGGGGCCAGTCCATAGCCTGGTGGTTAAGGCAGCTGGACCCAGGCCCAGACCTGGCAGTAGAAAAACACGCCAGGTGCATGTGTGTGTGCCCACTGGGGGGCTGTGGTGTGGCCTCCCGGTGTTCTTCTCTCCAGCAGAGATCACCAGCCCTCTGAGAAGACACGCGAGTGGAACAGCCGGGTGAAAACACCAGCGTGGCTGTGGAGAGCACAGTTTGGCACAGCCCAAGGGTGCCCGGGCGGCTGTGGCACGGACCGTCCAGGTCTCTGGCCTGGGAGTGAGGGCAAGCACCGCGTGGCCTGGACAGCAGCCCTACAGGCGAGGCCAGACATCACAGAAGGAAGAGGATGTCACAGAGCCCTCAGGACGGGGTCAGGGGGTGGAGTGGGTGAGTCCCGTAACCATGGCAACGCCAGACCTGCGGTGGTGGCTGAGCACACGCGACCTCTGCACACGGACGCGACTGCACGCGGCGTGGAATGCTCTCATGGGTGTCGATGGGGACACAGAGCACTCTGGCAGCTTGTAAAGCATGCTGGGCGGAGGCAGGGTCTGGCAGGGCCTTCAGGGAGCAAGAGCCCAGACATGGCGTTGTGGGGCTGAAAGGCCAGCAGTATGATGGGTGGGAGGTCATTTCCGACTGCACCAGTTGGTGCCAGCTGCTAGGAAGGTTCTAGACCCATGCTGTCCCCACCTGGCCTGGCAGGGGGGCACGCGGCTGACTCCACCTTGGGGCTGCGTGTCTCCGGCGCGATGAAATGCCCAAAGACTTTAGACCCAGGCTAGGTGCAGGTGTGTCCCCGTGCGTGTCCAGGGGACCAGCACCTGCAGCGGCTTC